GGCTGCGCTAAGTCTTTTTCCCATTCAAGGTGGATAGGATGATTAGCAGTACGTAATACGAATATTTGATAGTTCGTGCATATAATGTGGGTTGCTGTCATCTTAGTTTCCACGCCACAGGCGTATTGTGATCGCAAAAAATTTCGAAAAAGGACTATTCTGTTTTTTTGGATGATATATGACACGTACAGCACGAAACATCATGTCACTCATTTCCGTTTATCTGACTGATTTGCGTGTCCGAGTACTCTTGAGCCCGCTTTAACTGGGAAAGTATCCATATATAATGAGATTTTCAAACAAAGTTTAAATCCAAGTCTATCTATTAGTTGTGCAACAATCCTAATCACATTCCTTGGAATCCCAATAGATATATTGTTTATAACATTTATTTGATAAATATAGGTAAGCACAGTTTCCTTCCGGTAGCATATCAGACCGAACCGAACCAAATCTACATAAGAAATGCGCCGATCCCTCCTTATTTGTGAATCACGACTATGAAATATTCATAGACGCCTGCATAACTAATCTAATGAGCCCCAAGTTGAGTTTGAATTATCGATTCCGTATTTGTAAACTTTAAAGTTTGATATATGTACAACTGGCGTATATTTAGTTTATGGAAATATATGCAACGTATAAACTTCTGCAATGAATTACACTATGGTTAGACAGGAACGGATCGTGATTGTGAGCTTATGTGATATACAGTACATGTTTGCATTGCTAATTGGATTAATGCACCACATCTTACCAATATCTAATCATCTGCACTCTGTTTCGTATGTGTAAACTTGCAGCAAAGCTTAAATAGCATACAAGGAGATAGTATGATTACCATTGCGTCTAATGACAAGAGTAACTAATAACTACGAGTATGTTGCAGTAAAGTTAACTACTGGTTACCAAGGTGCTCATCATATCGTAAATAAGTCTGCGTCTGTATCTCTATCATTCTGTTGATCTGACATCTACAGGTATAATATGCCTTACCAACACCTCTGGCTGTGACGACATGTTAAATAATTAACGATAACGATTTATTGCTTTGCTTTGTTTATATTTTGTCAAGTGGCAGATGAGAGATAAATGCCTGAGGTACGAGCTCTGGGAGAAATGTGACTTTGAGTTCCACGCCAAAACGATGTATGCGTGGAATAATATTTATTCAGTCGCGTAATGTTCAGTCGGTGATGTACTCGTATTTTGAATAAGTGTCCAACATTCCACCCAAACAGTTTATATAAATATGGGTCCGAAAGTCTTCCGTTTTCAAGAGTGTTGTAAGTTTCTACGCTACCGGCCAGGATAAATAAGGACGAAATACGAATATTTTTCAAATCACGGTAGTGCTCTTAATATAGTATATTACTATACTACGCACAACTTTCAAGGTCAAACTTACAGCTTACCTTCAGAGTGGAATGGGTTGTAGCGTTTTATGCATTTAAATCATTCATCATTTTTTAAAAAAGAAGTAATATTACAAAAGTTTCTCAGGAGAGAAGATTTATGTAGAATGCTATGAATGTTTCAACAGGTATTCAAAAAAAACCCGTGTGATCCGAAATGTTGGACTTTCTTCCGTAGGATTGAACATTTCCCAATGGTGTAGTAAAAGGTAGAGGAGTCTTGTATGTATTGGTCATGTTATTGGGATTCAACTAAAAACAAACTCACTCTCAATATGGAGTGTCTGGTAGATCAATTGACAAAATTGCGCATAAATATCGTTAAAACTTTTTTGTTTGTTGAGATAGTAGCACAGAATAAATGTGGTTTCATTTTACAATGAACGCTTGACGAGATCAAGTAATGCCTGAAACATATGTTATAGAAAATATATTTCTCTGTGTATATCTCAGTTTTTATTCCGTTACTGTGAAAAATGAAAATTCTTTATGGCAATAACTCTTAAGGTGGCAATATTTGGTACACTTACCTATAGCCTATTTATACAAACGACCTCACTAAAATGGCTGATGGCCTTCCAAAGTCGTAAAATTATGCGGAATGAATCAAAAATTTGAAATTCAAAATTCGTTTATGAAAAACTATACCTTTTTTGTAATTGAGCTTTATTTGTTAGACTTATGTGGTATATTACATTTTCTATGGAGGTTACGCATCATAAGTATAATTTTTTATGTAGCAATAATAATAGAAAGTTTTTGGTCAGATTCAGGAACGGTGAAGTTTTGTTTTAAGTTTTTCACATTTTCATTTGATTTGAATCCTCTAAAAATGATCTTCGAAGTGACTGCCTCCATTTTCGACACATGCTCGATATTTCTTCCATATTTATTAGCTTGCTATTCCATCTGTCGGAATGGGGTTTCGGTACTGTTGGTTAACCCCTCTTCGTTGAGCATCTCTGTCGTGTACACTGACTCCTTTTCTCGGCCCCAGACACAAAAATTAATCGGCGTCAGGTCTGTAGACCGTGGAGGCCAAGGAATAGGATCACCTCTACCAATTCACGAGTTTGGATAATAATTGTCCATGAACTCTCCTATGGATTGGACAGGGTAGATATCATGCTGAAAGACAATCGACGCATCAGGTAAAATTGGTAGCAACAGACTAAGGCCCTACAAGATTTCACCTGCCCAGACATTGACGCTGACTCATCTTTGAAACGGACTTTGTCTTTTGTTGTGCGGGTTTTAGCCCCGTTCTGCTCAATAATGCAGGTTGTGCAGATTTACAAAATCGTCTTCAAGAAGTTCCCGCTATCAACATCCGTAGCATTATCACCGTCTTCCAGACCTGTAACAAATGAATGAAATCAGATGGATTACACAGACCTCAAACACATCTAAGTAAAGCAAGTAAATTGATGAAATGAAACAGATGCTCCCTGTGTATATATGCAACAGACCAGACTTTCCATACAGATACAGCAAGTCTATCGGCAACAACCCTTTATGGTATGGGTCCGCAAAAATCATAAAGTAGCGTCCGTCAGTCAGTCAGTTTTAAACGTAGATTCGTCTAGCTCCTCAAAATACTGATTTACAGCTTCGATAACATCTTTGTTGCTCTTAAATCTTTTACCGCCAAGCCATTTTTTGAGGTTAGGAAACAGGTAATAGTCGCTGGGGGCTAAGTTTGGAGAGTGGGGAGGATGCGGCATCAATTCAAACTTCAATTCGTGGATTTTGGACATGACAATAATCGACGAATGCGCTGGCGCGTTATCGTGATGAAACAAAAATTTTTTCTTCGCCAAATGAGGTCGTTTAATTTGCACCTCGTGCTTCAAACGTTACAATAACTCTGCGTAGTATTGACCAGTCTTACCCTTTTCAAGGTAATCAATGTATATAATTCCCCTCGCATCCCAAAAAGCAGTAGCCATAACCTATGTTTGCCGATAAAATTGTTTTTGCCTTCTTTGGAGTTGGTTCTCCTTTTCCAACCCTCTGTTTGGACTGTTCTTTACTTTCAGGAGTGTAGTGGTGGACCTAAGTCTCATCAACAGTTATGAATGGATAAAAAATTCGCTTGGATTACGCCTATTCAGCGCCAAATAGTCGGTAGAAATGGTTTTTCGACGGTGTTTTTGATCGAGCGTTAACAAACGCGGCACCCACCTTGCACACAGATTTTCCATATTCAAATGGTTGTGCAAAATATTTCGCACACGTTCAGCTGACATCGTACAGGTCTCAGCTATCTCGTGCACTTTCAACCTGCGGTCTTCCAACACTACTTTATGGATTTTCTCAATCATTCCTGAAGTTGTGACCTCAACG